CACGCGCTCGTCCGCAGGAATTAGAGGGTCACCTTTCGAGGACTGCTTCAGTTTCATCAACTTCACGCGGGCAGCAAGCTCCGGATTCTTCGGCTTTTTTGTAACACTCGATGAAGTCACAGCTACATGAAAATGAAGAAACCAAAGGTTTACTGAAATTTCTCGTGAAGAAACTTGAAACACAATTTTTCTTGAAACATCTTCCCATGAAGAACAAAATAGACTGGGGCTACGAAATGCGGACAATTTGAAATAGGGACACGTGATAACTCTAGAAATCTGCCCAAACATCCAGACAAAATGTCTCCTGCTTTGGGCACTTCACCGACATTTCTAGACACTGGGCATCTTTTCAGAATTTAGATATCCCTCGAAAAAATTGAGCTTTTTACACCGATTATATTTAACGAAGATTAAAGGTAATATTGATGATAAATTCAATAAAATTTTCGAAATTTCAAAATTCTAAATCTGTCGAGGAAATATCGCTTGCAAATGCTGAAGTCAAAAATTTTGGGGATTGATATCGAACAAACTGGACAAAACCTGCCTTTTGAGGACGATGCAGATGATAGAATGCTTGATACTAAGGCTTTCGTTTGTTGCATGTTTGACGTAGCAGGACGTTGAGGAGCTTCTGGGCAGTCGTGAGTATCCGGGAATCTATGTTCCAGACAAAATGTGACACGGCAAAAGCTGCATTCATTGCTCACTGCTGTTTTCTTGCGACAAGAGGCCACAGGACAACTTGAATATACTGGTCTCGTATGAATTGCTTCTCCCTGAAAAAAAGACGAAGAAATCCATTATACTTTGAACCTTCAAAACATGAACTGCGCTTATTTCTTCATTTTTTGAGCTCCAGCAGCAATTTTTCACTTCGTTGTGGCACTGGTGTTTTTCAAGGCAGTATATTTTTCAGAAGAGCATTTAACGATGACAGCTCGATGTCATTGATTCCGCGCGGCACCAACTAAATTTTTCAGCCCATTTAACTGAACACAGAAAAAATATCCTGGCAAAGCTAAGACCCAATGTACCTTTGCCATATTACACAAGATAATCCTTACTTGGCATAAGAAAAAATCGCACATTTTCTCAGGTATTCATGCAATATTTACGCTTTACCAACTTATAGCAATAAAAAAAAAAGTAAAAATCGCTTGCTTCAGAGGAAAGTTCTTCATGTTGAAAATATTACGTACAACCGTCATGCAACTTCGAAGATGATACAGCACAAAAGAAAAGCATTTTTCAATTTTCATTTTCAGACTTCAGCGTTGAGCTCTTGCCTTGAATTTTGAACTAGTCCGAAGATATTGAAAAATTTTCAAAAAGGTAATCAAATGTTGGTCATTTTAAGTAGTGAGAGTAGTGCATATTATTCAAATACCAAGACAATTAATGTATACATACATATTGTATAGCATATGTATGGATATATTATATTTTCTTCCAAACTTAACCGTTGACTTAATCTTGTTTGTAAATGATTCGAACAATTGGGATTTGCGCAAATGAGACGCATTGCTCAAAGCAGCAGCCAAATAAAACGTGAACTTCTAAAAAAAAAAATTTCCAGCAAAAAAAAAAACACAAGAAGATTGGAAGCAAGAACAAAAAAAATTGGAACTAACATCTTTTGCCTCCATCCGAGGTAACTTCGGACACTGATGATGCCCAGGCTGAAAATGGTCCCGACAAAACACATGGTCACACCACAAACACACAAACGGAAGAAAATCCAACCGAGAGCAGCCTTCTAATTCGCACTGCTTCCCTAAATCTGGGAACTCCATGACACTTGTTTCCTGTTCGAAGAAAATTCAACAACAACAAAACAGCCATCTACCAAATAGCGACGAACACCCATCGTCGAAAGTGTTGTCATTCATGTTGCAAAAAAACAAAAACTCAAGCAAAGCTAAAAGATTTCTCAGGTTTTCAATATTCATCAGGATCATATTATTTTCACAAGACACAAATTGAGTAACAGTAAATGGATTTCGATGCGAAGTCAATTTCCATGAATTTGCATTTGAAATTCTACCTCAGATCTTTGAAGATACATTTTATTTTCAATTTCGTGCCAATAGTGAATGTCATGCCTTGGTTGCACAGCCGATCAAGTACAAAACTTCATCAACACCTTCTCCTAAAAATATTTCAGAAATACATCATTGGAAACAAAAACACCTCCAGCATTAAAAGTGTAAGTTTTGAACAAGACTGCTTTGAACATGAATTAAAAGGAGAACAGGCGGGTGTTCCAAATCAAAACAAAATCCTCACTGTGAATGTTTGAATTTGTTTTGACGATCACACGATTCTGCACGTAGAAATTTTCAAAAAAGTAGGAGACAAACGAACATTTCAACAACAATTCATTGCCAAATCTTGCACAAAATGCCAAATAGTTTGCCAAGTCCTTATAAAGTATACAAAATGGACGGAAATGTTTTATTCTGATATTTGTTAGGACGGACCAAATGCCTCAGTCACGAAGAAGTTCAAATCGCACGGATGCAGTGCGATCTCTTCCGCTGTATTCAATATTCTTTGCCCAAATCCGGCACTCAATCATTATGAGCACATGTGCTGTGAATAAAAAGGAGAATTATCGAACGACATGTTTCGCATATAACATAGATACGAGTTTATGATGTACCACAAACCCTTCCATAAGAAACGCACGAAGGTTTTTCAGCAAAACATTCTGATAACATTGTATACATGCACCCCACTTTAGTGACTCTACAACGGCAATACAGTACTTCGAAAATAAGAATACACAAATTTCAGTTTAGAAAAAAATTGAAAGTGAATTCAACTAATTTTCCATTGTTTCCAATAGAATCAGTTTTCCTGTTGAAATTGGTCAACATTTTCCCAGAATAATCAAATATAATGAACACCAGAATTTTTAAAAGTTTTTTAAAAGTACATACCAAAATATTATGCAAGCCCCTTTTATCTTCTCAATTTTGAAAGAAAAAGTGTGTGAGGTACTCAAGTAAATAGATCCAAGTTTGCTTCTACCAATTTAAGACTGATGTATAGCATTTTGTGATTGAATGCATAATACATTACAGTGCCACACTTTCTTTTCGCAAATTAAATGCGTCGCAAGTTTATTGTCAAACCTAAATTGTCAGTGCTTGAATCAAATCATGCTTGAACGCATTGTCAGTGAATTAGACGCCTTAAAATAAGTTTGTGAGAAATAAATCGTTCAATGGGCGCAAATTTTTCTACAACATAAAATACTAGGAATTTTAATGGATCGAGATCAATGACACACAATTTTTCAAGTGGTAAACGGAGACTAATTCTCAATGTTTTTGCCATGTGACTCACGTTTTGGATCTTTGAGATGAAGAGCAACAAGAGGCGATAAATAACCCGGCGTCTTCGTGTACGGGAAGAAATATGCCGGAAAACCCTGTTCAAACAAACGAAAAAAGGAAGTTACAACCAAAACGTTCTGGTCCCTCACATGTTTTTTCCCCACCCACATTCCGATTCTTTTTCTTTAATCATTCGGCTAAAAACGGAAATAATGGCTAGCGCTTAGAAATGGTGCTCAAGCAAGACTCACGGGATAAGGAAAATATTCCACAGCACCCAAATATTCCCTGTCTGCAGACGTGATTCCTTCACATGAAAGCCAGACACTTGGCGGTCTTCTGTTTTCATCCTTCAATTCAAGAATAAAAATGGTCACACCCAAAGAAAGCGACAAGGCAACGAAGCCAGTTCTTACATTACTATACAAGCTGAACTCGCGGCTGACGCTGGTTTTCCTGACTTCTCGCTTCAGAAATTCTGGCATTTCATCGGGAAGATTGTCTTCCGGGCCATATGTTTCAGGAATCCATCCATAAACCTTTGAGAAAGTCAATTATTCACACTGAAAGATTCCAGGTAGTACCTTATTGTACCTTATTAATTTTTAGGATGATGCACGGATTTCCACGATCATAACCAAAACGATTTTCCTTCGTACACATGCTTGTCCCCAAGAGCCGAATGTCAAAAGGGCATACTTCTCCGGGTCTCAGAACTTTGCCAGGATAGCATTGGACAATTGAACCACCACTGCTTTGAGTCAACTGTTCGTATTCTGCATGAAGTGGAATTTGTTAGTCATTAATTTGAAAATTTCAAGTTAAATTCCAATTACTTGCCAGATACGAAGGATGCCAACTGGTTGGTCCACATTTTCCAATTTTCCACAATACCTTGTTTAATGTGAATCAGAGCACTCTCATTCACATCAGATTTTGGCCGTACACCAAGACCTTGAATACACAGAGAAACAACGTCAGGAGCACATAAATTTGAAATATTTCATGATCTGACACTAACCTGGGGTATTCCCAATTGCTCCGTAAATATTCTGGTATTTTGGCTTGTTCTCATCCAGAGTTTGGTGATGAATCAGCATCATTATAGCGAAGAAAGCCACAAGACATGCATAGAAAACGGAATAGAAGAGGATCCTTTCAACTGAAAGAAAAACAAAGCAGAAACTCACATACAGAGTTTTGTTCCTGAGAATCCTGACCAAGAATGAATATCGACTTACAAATGCGTCGCCTCTTCAGTTTCTTCTCAGTCAGTAGTGCTTCTCTTTCTGAGTCCATCCTACCACTAGGATCCAGTTCTTCTTTCTCCTTTTTCCGATAACGAGCAGCTTTCTGGTCCGAAGACAATTCTCTCATTTTCATTTCGGCCATCGTGTATCAGAAAGCCGATGAAAAAAATAAGTTAAATGAAACCTGCACCAACCAATAAAGAAATTCCAGATCAGCAACCAAGATTGGGTGGAAAATAATACAGTACACTTGAATAAAAAAAAAAAGCCCCAAAAAGGAATACAATCATTTCCAGAGAACCAACTGCTCTGTTTTCCGGTAACAGACACCATTTGTAAGCAATAGCTTCCTCAGCCGGTGTGAGGACAACTGATTCGGAGCTCCCTGCTACTTTCAGAGGCAAGATTCATGAATTGCCAACAGCCACTGTGTTTCTTCGACATCAAGAACGACATTACGATTTATGCGATCGAACATCGGAAGGAACGAATACAAAACGAGAACAATGAAAGTACTGAAATACAATAAACGACACCACGCGGCTCCCTAACCATTGGAGTTTCACATGTGAAGCGTTTCTTTTCGTGTCGTTTGATCAGATAAACTCATGAGGTTCGAAAGTTGTTCGCTCTCCGTTGAAGGAGTGGAGTTCCTCGGTGAACACGAAAGGGGGAGTAGGACTGTTCTGCGGTATTATTCTTCTCCGGTGTAGCAGGCAGGGCGTACTCCCCAGGTACAGCGTACTCCCCCTGCAGGAGGATTAGTCCACATCCGCGGAGTGCGATTCAGCAGAGGCTCTTCTGCAGTGATCACTTATGCAGTGGTATCTTAGACGGCATAGCGCACACTGGAGTACACCCTGCCTAGGTAGGGTGTACTCCTGGAGTGCATCCTGCCTAGGCAGGGTGAACTCCTGGAGTACGATTTTGGGGGAGTACGCTGTGCCGCCCACACCGGCGGCAAGGAAATCAGGACAACGTTACAAGTGGAGGCCGCCATACTTTTTCCACGAGCTCACGAACGCCCCCTACAGATTAACTGCTGAACCAAGCACAGCCCCAAAACTAATACAGTACCATAGATTCCATTACTGTGTAAGTACAATACCAATTACCAAGGAACCATCAAAAGACAGACTGGTCAACACCTGAAGCAAGATCCAGGCATCTTGCACAAACCTGGACATCAGCTGCAGATGGAACCAACCCTGGAACAAAGTCTAGGCATGCATGGGAAAATCCTGCAGCTCAAAAATTCCACTGGTACAAAAATCTCATCTGAAAATCCCACAAAACAAAAAAATCTGAAGAGAACACAATTTATATTCAGAGCAAATGCAAACATTAAAGCTGCAGATGAAGGCCAGAAGTTTCTCAAGATTTTGGGAAAGGTATTTTTTTCTACAATCATATATTTGTTTAATTCAAAGTTCCTTTTGTTTATCCTTTTCATTGAGTGTCCTTCGATCAATTAAACCCTTCACTAAATCCCAAAATTCTTTGTTAAATGCGTGTTCTCATCACTGAAATCAGCATGAAGTATCCAGCCTCCTTTTATAACAGAGCTTTATAATCCACAAACGTTCCAGGCACAAGGTACAAAAATAATTCTTCAGTTATACAAATGCAATAACTGGTAAATAAACATACAGTACAGTATTTCAAATGACAAAAGCCCACACAACCATAATCATCCAGCCTTTCAAAGTTTCGGAATGACGCGCAAGCGCACCGCAATACGAGAACAGAAGAAATGATCCTCATCTTAAAAAAAAGAACAGAAGCTCCAATAAATCCGCGGCGCAACGCGTGTCGATCGAAATATACCTCGCAAAATCTTTTTCTCAGACTAGATACTTTCTCTCAAATCAACCAAGCAACGGATTGCGCACAACACCCATAAAAAGCACGGAATCCGTGTCTTTGTGGTATAAAGCATATAAGAAAGGACGGTTGATTTTGATCTCCGTGGGTGTTATGCGCCCGGATCGCAAGGAGATGAATGCTGTGGCAGCAGCGGCCTCGGTGCCTTCTTCATTCACCTCGATCACGGCCTGGTGTTGGGCCACAGAAAAGGCCATGCTGGTCAAATTTGCCGACAAACATCCGAAATCGGCCTCAGCAGGAACAAACATGGATCCAAGGCCAAGATTATTGAGCGGCTGGAATAATAAATATGAAAAAATCAACAGCGCTGATCGTATCACCAGCTTCCTCATCCCATCAGCGCGATGATTCTATTACTTTAACTGTATTTCTTTGTACCACTTTTCGGAATAGCCATCCTCACAAAAATCATTGCTCTAAGCGTCGAAGGTTACATACAAGGGTTGGCGCAACCTTGGTTATTTTTGGAGTAGGTACGGCTTTACAAGAAAATTATGATATATTAGCTCATGATGTTGCAAGGTTTTGCACAAAAAAAAAGTTTGGAAAATCTAACCTTCAAGTAAAAAACCTTTGGATCCACAGAAATTTTATGAATTTTCATGATATACATCAGTTTATAAATGTATACTGAAGTACCATGTAAATTTCCAAGCATTTATATAATTGAGCATTTCAACTCCCACGCTAAGAACTTGACAAATTCACATTTCATAAACAAAAATATTTTTTTTTTAGCAAGCAATCAGATCTCAGATAATTTTCCAGGTAAATCTGGAATACATATTAAAACAAGAAAAAGCATGCATTATCAGGAAAAACCAACTCTTGAAGTGAAGAGAACCTTCAGATCCAGCGAAAAAGAACAATTTTCAGTGACATGTATAACTTCTAAGAAATTCAGTTTGCATCCTTCACAGTTTACAGTAACACAGTTCACATCAGTTAACCCAGCGAATGACGACATATACCGACTGGAACAGTTTCAATAAATACTTTCATTCTCCAAGGCGCAGAAAGAGAGATCCGGATATACTGTAATAGGGTTGTCCAACTTCTGCGCGGCATTAAATATAACTAACGTTGTTAAAAATGTTTAAAAATTCTATAATTCTCTTACCCCTGAATCTGTTTTTTTTTTATAAAATCAGGACATTTTTCAGTACATGGCAAAATGAAAAGAGAAAACGCACCCTGAGCAGCTCAAAAGTCGTTTCAATTTTGAATTTGGGAAGCGTCAAAAGGTTGACGTCCCGGCGAACCACAGAATCCCTGGCTTGGGCAAACGATTCCACACTGAATCGCTCCAACACGTCGTCCAGGTTCCATCCAGGGGAACTCGCTGGGACTATCACATACATGCTCAGATCGTTCCCATCTCCACTGGCATAAGGCAACTCCACCACTGTAGCTTTGAGCGTCTCAGAAACACCTGGAAGTA